ATTTTGTTTTATTATTAATGCAATTAATTTTCTCCATTTCAATGAATAATACTAAAGGATTATTTAAAGGAATTGATTTAATTATGATTTGAGCAATTTTTAATAATTATTTAAAGTGAAATTCTATTTTGGGAAAATTATTGTATATACATGAACCAAAGTAAACAAAAATAATTTTTCATTTGAGAAATTTGAAACTTTTTTAAAACTATTTTGGATTATTTTTTAGGCATTGAACTTCATTGCATCATTTTTTCTTTTTTTTTTCATTTCTATTCCTTCTGAAAAAATTTATTCGAAACTTTGTAATCCTACTTTTTTAGATATGAATTTTTTTTTTTTTTTTTTGAAATCTTATCAAACTATTTGATTTGAAATAAAATCATTATTCAACTTTCAATAATAAAAAAAATAAACTTTTTTAAAAAAATAAAAAAAAGGTAATAATTCGATTTGTTAAAAAGAAAAAATTAATTGAAAGAGATAAATAATTATCAATTACTGAATGAAATTTTCATTGCAAATGAAAATAGAAATTTTGAAACCTTTCAAGAATTTACGGTATAGAAAACATAGAATATACTAAATTTTGGTGTTACCTAAAATGATCTAAAAATTGCGATACTGATTATTGATTATTGATTATCGATTATTGATTAATATTCTCAAATAAAACTATTGCCAACAACTTAAAAATTAAACAATGTGGTTTTATAATTATTTGTATTAGAAAAGATAAACCAAAATTTTTTTAAAAAAAAAAGAAGTTTCGGAAATAAACGAAATAAAAAATTTTTTTGAAAAAATAATTTAATTTTATTACTTTTTGTTTTTCTCCCTATCTTCTTTTTTTTTTAATTCTATTTTTTGATAAACTTTTTGGCAAAAAAAGCAGCTCATTAGCAAAAATATAAAAGTGCTGAAATCACACATAGAAAATTGATTAATTAAAAAATCGAAATATACAAATGCGAAAAAATTTGAATGAATCAAACCCAATAACTTGTAATATTAACAAAGTTTTCAACTAGTAAATGTATCAAATAATTATTAATTAGTAAAAAAGTACGCAAATTCTTTTTATGCAATTTTCTACAAAATTTTTGAAACGAAATAACAAATTAAATCATTTTTTTAAATCTTCATCCTCTTTGTACTAAAAGTTTGCTTAAAATTTTATAACATAATACTATCAATTCAAAATTAAAAATAAATGTCGAAAATATGAAATTATTCAGTTTGCTCACTGTCATAAATTTTTGCCTTTTTTTGTGGGCAAATGAAAAGTAAAATAAAAAAAAATAGAATTTGGAAACTGTACGGATTTTCCATCTAAACATTAAGCATCACTTAATGATTATAAATTTTTCTTCCGTTTTTTGAGTTTTATTATCTCTAATGCATTTAATACATTCATTAGAACATTCTTTAATTAATTGCAGGTGTGTTAATTAAACAAATTATTGTGAAAATGTCAAAATAAATATAAAATTGTCATTTTCAGTTAAGGTTACACAAATAAATTGTGAATGGAAAAAATCGCCAGTTTTCATTTAATAATTTAATTGGCTTTCATTTAATTTAATTAATAATATTTAATTAACACTTAATAATTTAATTAATTTTGTATATATGAAGATTGTTGTATATATTATTTATTTTATTCAAATTTTATTTTATAATAACAAATATACTATTTTGAAAAAAAAAAAGAATTACATATAAATTTCACGTCTGATAATTACGTATAGAATATCACGCAATTATTAAACGTAAGTGTAAACAATAACTGTCAAATTGGAAAGAAACAAAATTTTTTTTTCTTTTCTTTGCAACAAATAATATTATAAATTATTCACTTATGTCATATGTCACCCAACCAAAAAAAAAAAAAAAAAAAAAGTGAGGAAAAGCTTTTCGCATTTATCAAAATGTTTAGCTTTAAATAGACTTAAATTTACATTTATGATAAATACAATTTTTTATTGCTGAGAAATTCATACAACTATGTCAACTAGAAAAAAGATTTTCTTTATGTCAACTAAAATGCAACACAAAAAATAGGTTTAACTTTTCATTTACAAAATATAATTTTTCTTTTAAGTCATTTTTTCAAAGCAAAAATAATCAGAAATCTAAAAACTTTGAAATTAGATCAGTCAAGAAAAAAAATTTTTTTTTTTTTTATTAGTTAAAGTTAATTTATTGTGAAACAAAAAGAGGAAACTAATTTAATTTATAAGTTGAACTGTGATAAATTAAAAAAAAGAAACGAGAAACATTTCCAATGATCTATTCTAGTCTAAAAATTTTAAATCTAAGAAAGTTTGAATGAAAATCAACAGAAATAGCAGGAAATTACATTGGATTAGTTATCTGTAAAATTAAAATAAAATTTTCACTATTAAACTTTCTTTTTTTAAACACAATACTTTATCAAAGTAAAATGTAAAGGCTTACTTCATTGTTTATTAAATATTAAAAAAATGATAAACACTTTTTTTTTAATATATAGTAAGAGGTTAATGTTAAATGGAAAAGGTAAGTAATATATTGGGAGATATTATTGATTTAATCTTCTTTATATTCTTAACAGTACTTATTAAAAGAAATAAATTATTAAATTAAATGTTTTAAATTCAATTTAAATATTTTGCATTATGGAAAGAACAAAAAAAAAACATAAAGATGAATAAATTTTGTGAGGTAAACAATGTTTTTTTTTCCTTTTTTTCAGACAATAAATCTTACAAATGATGAAATATGATATTTATAAATAATTAAAAAGGAAAAAATGAACTGAAATATTTCTAATCCATATTTTTCCCATTCATTCTTTTCGTTTAATTAAAATTTTAGAATTAATTAATTGCTAACACTGCGTTCTTTATGAAAATATGCTTATTTATTGGCAAAAAATCAGAAATCTTTTCGATATCATTTTACTTATACTTTTAATAATATGTGATATTTATCACTAATTTCTAATTTATTTATACGACAAAAGTATTTATAGAAAAGAAAACAAATTATTTTAACTAAATTTACAGATAAAAAGCATTGCTAATTATCACGTACGTAAAAATATAATGACGTACGTGTACAATCATATACATTTCTGAAAATTACTTTTATTTAGGCAAATTGTTACGCTAAGAAAAAAAAAAAAAGAAGCCAACAAAAGCATAAACATATTTCTTTAATTATAATTAAAGCATAGACAAAAGTAAAATTAGTATTTACGTTATTATCGTTAGAAGTAATAATACGCAAAATCATTAATTAACAAAAAATTTAGCTTCTTTAATTGCAGTTGCAAAGTGAGATTTAGCATTAAATATGCGTTTTAGGTAAAATAACTTTTTAAAAAGTTTATTTAAGTCTAAGAATAGTTACAATAATATAATAATAAATAATGATAATAATAATGCAATAATAGTAGTAGTAGTGATAATAGTGATAATGATAATGATAATGGCCAATAATAATAAGCATAAAAGCTTAATAAAATAATACAAATTTGCAAATGGATGAATTTATTTCTTACTGCAATTCACTGCAAAATATAATTGTCACACAAACATAGCTAATTTGCTAATTTATTCAATATTTTATAAATTTTTACAGTTCATAACACTTTTTCCACAAAATTTTCATTTTCGTTTTTGTTTTTTGTTTTAATTTTTAAAATTTTTATTTACTTTTTTTTGTTATTTCTTTATTATTATTTTTATTATTGCTATTATTATCATTGTCACTACTATCATTAATATTATCGTTATTATCATTATCATTATTATATTATAAAAATATTATTACTATCATTACTACTATTGCTATTATTAACTGTTCTTTTATTCTTTCTATTTCATTTGTTTATTTATTTTTAATTAATTAATTAATTTTATTTATTTTATTGCACATGTTTTAATGGTCTTAATTTAGTTATTTTGAATTGACAAATTAATTTGTTTATTTTACATTATTAATTTCTATTTATTGCTATGAAGCAATGAAAAATATTGTTGTTAGTTTATATTTATGAATGAATAAATTAGATTGAATCAATGAACTTACGAAAAAAGTGACAAATTATTATTAAATGACAATTTAACTGCAAAAATAATAGATAATATTGTTATTATTACTATTATTAGGTAGTATTATTAGTGTTATAGGTAATATTATTGATGTTATAGGTAATATTATTGATGTTGTAGGTAATATTATTAGTGTTATAGGTAATATTATTAATGTTGTAGGTAATATTGTTAGTGTTATAGGTAATATTATTAATATTGTAGGTAATATTATTAGTGTTATAGGTAATATTATTGATGTTATAGGTAATATTATTAATGTTATAGGTAATATTATTGATGTTATAGGTAATATTATTAATGTTGTAGGTAATATTATTAGTGTTATAGGTAATATTATTAATGTTGTAGGTAATATTATTAGTGTTATAGGTAATATTATTAATATTGTAGGTAATATTATTAGTGTTATAGGTAATATTATTGATGTTATAGGTAATATTATTGATGTTGTAGGTAATTTTATTAATGTTGTAGGTAATGTTATTAGTGTTATAGGTAATATTATTAATGTTGTAGGTAATATTATTAGTGTTATAGGTAATATTATTGATGTTATAGGTAATATTATTGATGTTGTAGGTAATATTATTAATGTTGTAGGTAATATTATTAGTGTTATAGGTAATATTATTAATGTTGCAGTAATATTATGAATGTTATGGGTAATATTATTAATGTTGTAAAGTATTAAATATTTGTAATTACTAAAAGAATAATTACTGATCCATGTTAAAAGGGATTAAAATTAATCTTACCTGAAGACAAACAGAAAGAGAGAGAGGCAAAAAACGGAAGAAAGAGAGAAAGAAGGAGAGGGTAGTTCTTAATTTATAATTGATTGTTTAGTAGGATTAAACCAATCATTTCTGGATGACATAGGATCAATTCATTTTCGATATGACACAATCAATGTAATCGAACCGATTCATTCTGTCAATTAGTATTAGATGGTTTTTTTAGTTTTTTTTCTTTTTTTTTTGCATTCTGTTATTAATATTATATAAAAGGAAAATCATTGATGCGCTTCACATTATTGTATATCAAATTGATCAGTTGGTAAGGTTGGTTTATCAGTGATTTGTTGAAGTTTGAAAGTGTTAAGTTTAATAAATAAAAAAAATATATAAACAAGTGTGTACATATGTGAAAAGGAAGCAAAGATTGTGAGAAAAAAAATGATAAAGTGAGAAGAGTGAAGGAAAAGATTTATTACTTTTCATAGAATATATTCAAAGAAAAAAAACTATTTTCAAACTCAAAAGTTTTAATTTGAAAATACACGTTTATATTCTTTAAAATTAGATTTAGCTTATATTGCAGTAATGGTAGTAATAGTAATGATAATAACAAATAATAATATAAATACTAATAAATATTAATGATAATTGCAATAATATTAATTATAAATACTGGTGATAACAATAATAAATAATACTTTATATAATTTAAGCATTGTAAATGCCAAATTAAACAATTAAAATGATTGAAAAGTCTAAAATTTAATAAAAAAGACATTTAGCTATGTCATAGCAATAATAAATTGTTTATCATTTCTTTACCTTTCTAACTTCTATTTGAAAACTAATTTTCTACTATTCTTGAAAATAAAAAAAAAAGAATAAAAAAAATAAGGAATATGCCGGATGATGAATATCGGACAAAATATTCCGCAGCACAAAAGATGCAATTGTTGAAATCACAACAGGCAAAATTGGAAGTTCGAGCAATGCCTGCACATTCACAATTAAAACTTAAAGTAATACTAAAATTGAATTTAAAACAATTAAGTAAAAGAGTATAGAAATTCAACTGCAAATATTAATTTCGATATTTTTAAATTCAATAAAATATTTACAATTAAATTAAAGGCACATGACAAGAAAACGAAAAAGAAACGAAAGAAGGAAATAGCAAAAAGTATGAGTATAAAAAAATTTATTTTTTTTAGCTAAATTTAATCAATGAAATTTTAATGTTTGAATTTTATTATAATTGCTATTCAATTCCTTTCCTCTTTTTTTGTTCATTTTTCTTATGTAAAGCATAATTGAAACGAATTTTGCCTTTTTATTCAAATAAAATTAAAAAATAGCTATTCATTTACTTACCTTTGTATGTATACCTAAACATATTTACAAAGATAACAAATATTATAAGCATAGTTATAACACAAACTTAATTAAATATCTTTTTTTATTTTTGTTTTCTTTGCAGAGAAATCTCGAAAAGTAAAACTATCATTGGATGCAGCTGATTGTAAACATTTTATTTACATTATTTTATTAGCAAATCCTTCCATTATTATTTGGAACTGTTTGTCATTTATTTACTAATGTCAAAACCATCTAAATTTAAATTGTTATTACCTTACTATTATTATTAATATTATTTTTACTATTATTATTTTTATTATTATCGGAAGGCTTTCTCTTATTGGTGACTTATAGTAAGTAAATGGCAAGCAATTCTATTAGCAACTGCATGAACTAAATTAATTCTTAATTAAATCCAAACAATAATTCGAAATTAATTTTGTATTTTAATAAATACTCACAAATTAGTTTTAATAAGAATTTAAATGTTAGTTTTGAGATTAATATACATTAACAAATTAATTTACATTGAAAAATAAGGCTTAATTTTTTGAACAAAAGAAAAAATAAATAAAAAAAAAAAAACTTATAGCAAGCAGTTCGTCGAAATCAAAAATATCAACTGGTAGCAGTGCTGCTATACCACGATCACCACTACATAAAAGTGACGTACAGGTGATAAAGTTAATTTGTAGACGTAAATTTTTACGTTTAGCTGTAAAACAGCTGCTTTTCAGTTTTGCTCGTTAAACCGTATATTATACGTATCACACGTTTACGTTTACATATAACTATTGAGCATTGTTCTTTTTCCATTAAAAGTTTGTATAAATTTAATAATTAATTAATATTATCATCAGAAATGTACAGAAATATTAATTACAGGTAGTTTTTATTGTTTAATTTTAACTAATCGTTTAAATAAAATATTTTAATAAGAAAAAATTACTGTAGTACAAACACATTAAAATAATACTTTAAAAATATAAAATTATTAGAAATTTAATTATGCATTGAATGATGCAAAATATAAAAATGCAATAATTAATATTTGTGCAACAATTGTCGCTAATATTTTTACCAAAGTGAAACGAATAAAAATATATAAATATTCCAAACTTAATTAAGAAATCACAAATGATAGATTTATCTGACTAACTTAAATGATACAATGCCTTGAGTTATAAGCATGATGTTCTGATAAGTTATCATATCACACTGAGAAAACACTGTGACAGCTTACCACCTATGAATAATGTCATATCACACTGAGAACAATTTGATATCCAAGCGCAATATAAATGATATTAAATCAGATTTTGAGCAATCTGATAGGCTTACCAATATGAATGAAAAAAATGGAAGCAATTATATGGCAAACGTCAAATTTTCAACGATTTATTTTATTTCCTTTTTAAGCTGCCAACATCAAAAGATGAAGAAGAAAATGCTCTGAAATGGAAACATCGAACAAAATACATTTATGAAACTGAACGCATTTCATTGTAAATCTTTTTTCTTAAAAAAAAAAAAAAAGATAAAAAATTTATGGTATTTCTTTATTTTTCTTATCTTTTTACTTTTAATTAATTTTTCTATTCGTTTCTTAATTCTAATCCATTTCATTCGATTTTTTTTTTCTTTCATTTCCTCATTTCACATTTTTGCTTCATTACTCTTTAATTTGAAAAGAAAAAAAAAGAAATTAAACTCACAAATAATTTTGAGTACATTTTTGCAATTAAAATTATCTTCTAGTTGTCTCCTTCGTTTCTTTTTTTGAAAGAAAAAGTTTTTTTTTTTTTTTTTTAATTGTTTACTATAAATTTTGCTAGTTACAACTAAATCCTTTTGAAAATAGTACTAATATACTACTATTGTTACTACTACTAATAATAATAATAAATTATTTAAATGCACAAGAATTTGTTTCATTGAAATAATTTCAGGTGCATTTTTCAAGTTTTATATATTATTAATTCTGAGGTTAAATTTTATGCAGTAAATGAATGAAATGTTAAATTTTGTAATTATTAAATTTAATATTTTATAATTATTTAAAATCATCATTTTTAGAAAGCTTAAAGAAATAGCTGCAGAATGTACGAAAGATATTGAATTACAAGCTGCAATGAATGATATTATTGCAAGAATAGATGTATGCATTGTAAATTTTAAAATTAAATAATTGATTTTAGTAGATAATAAATTTAATCGATGTATTTTATATATTTTTTTTTTTAAATATTTCCACGACAAATATACTTTTATCGAATTTATTCTATTAATTACTTTTTTTTTTAAAGACATTAAAAAAAGCTCGCGATGAATATTATCAATATGTGCAAGCACAAAATGATATATTTGATAAACAAATTAAATTACTGGATGAATTGCAAACAATGGTTTGTTTATTTTATATTAGTAAAATTTTTAACTATTTTTTTCTTGTTCTGTTTATGGAATAAATGTAAATATTTTTTGAAAGATTTAAATTTGAAAAATTTTTTAAACTGATTTCTCACATTTTTTTTCTTTTTTTTTTTTTGTTTTCTCTTTTTATCTATACTTTTTAGTTTTTTTTCTTTGCACTAAAATTTTTTTTTAAAGTTTTTGACTTATTATTAGTAAAGGTTATGTCGAACCGAAAAAAAAGGGAAAAAAATTTTTGAGATTTGTATTTTATTGTTTTTAAAATTTTATTTGAAATTTTTCAATCGGAATTTCATTGTTTTAATATTTTAATATGAAAGCATACTTTCAAAAAATTCATTCTATAATTTTGAAAACGAAAATATTTTCTTTCAATAATTTGGTAGAGAAAAATGAGTAATTAAATGAAAAAAAAACGAAAAAGAAAATGCAATAATTTGCTACGAAATAAAGAACAATTTTAATCTTTCAGTTATAATTTAATTCTTTGATTAAATGATTTAATTCACTTTTTTTTATTTTATTTATGCAGAGTTTTTTACATTCACATTTTCCATTTGTTTTTCGCACTTTTCGAAAAAAAATTTTTTTTTTTTGCTTTCTTTATTTTTTTTATCAATAAATAGCAAATAGTTTTTTTTTTTTTTTTTTTTTTGAAAAATTTTTCTAACTTTTCAAATTTTACATTTTTTTTTCAGTTTTAATCGTTTTGCAAAAGAATGTATAATTTCTTTTTTTTGTTGATTAATTTATCAAATTTTTTGATTATATTTTATTCTTCAAATAACAAAAAAAAAACGTTAACGATTAATAATTGTGGTAAAAAAAAAAAATAAAAAACTGAAAAGAAATGTTTTGTTGCAAAATGATTGAACTGTGTAAATGCATAAATGCTTTCATAAATGGCTAAGTTTGAAATTTTTTAGTCCAAATGATGAATTTAGCTTAAAAAGCTTAAATAGAGCCATTTTTTTTCCTTCACTTTCTTTTTTAGGCTTTTAAAATATATCCATTAAGTCATTTTTCAAATTTTTAACAAACTTTTTGCGCTCTTTTTTTTTTTTTTTTGCAGCAAATACGAGAACTAACCAATAAAGTACATCGATTAAGTGATACATTCAAGAATATTGATGCTAAGCTATCCGTCATTAAAGCAAAATTGCAAAATATTACCAATCATCGAGCTAAAAAAACATTAATACAAAGTTTCATTGAAGTATTTTATGCATTTTTTTAAATTTCAAATGTTAATGGTAGTAATTTAAAATATAAATTAAGATTATTTCAAAAAAAAATTGTATAATTATCATAATATCTACTGTTACTATAATCATCTTTTAATCTTAAATATATCAATTTAATTTAACAGTATTCATTTAATAAATTGTTGTGTAAAAAATTTCGTTACAAATTGACGATTAAAATATTTTTGCCTATAAATGTTGATATTATTAATAATGAAATGAAAAGTAAAAATTTCATTTTTCTTTTTAATAATATAAAGTATTTTGATTTTTAGCGAAATCTAACTTTTTCTTTTTCAACATAAAATATGTTATCAACAATTTTACTGTGAAAATTTAAAAATTTGAGTATCGAATTTCGATTCGAAAACTAGCTAACATGTTTTAGCGTACGCTGAATTATCGATTACGTGGAATTTATTACCTACAATTTTATGTTTAATTTATTTGAATATTTCAGGTTAAAGGTCATTTGAATAAAATGATTTGTATGAATTAAATCGTTTGCAAGTTAATTTAGATTCGATTAGTTTTACTTAATTTGTTTCTGTATCAAATGAATATAATAATAATAATATCAGCTAAAATCAATTTATTCCTCAAATCTTGCAATAGTAGTGCATAAGAAGTTTTTATAAACAATAAACAAAGTATCAGTTATAAATATTTTCTAATAATATTACAACTTTTTATTTTATTTTAAAGTTATTTAATTAATAAAGTTATTAACTCAATGTGAAACAATTATACATTTATATGTATAATGCATACATCCGAATAAATTGCACTGAATATAAAATTGTTTTATAACAATAAATTATAATTAAACTGAATTTAACTTACCAATAAAATAATTTTAAATTAAATAATAGCGGCTAATTCGATTTAGCAAACGAATTGAATTTAACTATTATTCAATTAACCGTTTATTTATTTTTTTTTTTTTTTGATTGTGTGAATAAACTATATGAATTTATTTCTTTCTATTTTTTAAAATAAGGAAAAAAAAGGAAAAACTATTAAAATTTGTTTTATTTGCTTTCATTTTTTTTTTTGCATAATTAATTTTTATTCTTTTTTAAAGAATTTTACACTTTTTTTTAAAGGAAAAATATAATTTCTTTTTCTTTTTTCAAAGTTACATTAACATTTGCAATGTTTATAATTTCTCTTTGCATTTTTTTTTAAATTAAATTTAATTGATTACCATAAATTTGTGAAATTTTCATCATATCGTAGTAAAAAGATTATATTAAATCAACAAATATACTGCTGCAAAGAGAAAGAAAAACAAAAATTTAGAGATAAAAGTGAAAAGAAAAAGAAAGAAAAGCATTTGTAAACAGTTATCAGTGAAAAGTAATCATCAATCACTTTATCAAATAATCCTTTCAAATTTCAAATTGAACTCTTTTTTTTTTTTTTTGAAATACTTTTATTCGTTCTCTTTTTCTGCTTCATACACTTTTTTCTTTTTTTTAAATAAAAAAAAATGATAAATTATTGTTTTCTTTTCGATATATTCAACTTTTCAAGCATTCTAATTGATCATTGGATTGTATCTTTTATTATTTATTTCACAGATTTAAAAATTTTCAATGCCAATATGTTTGTTTTACTTTTAAACATCTATGCGTGTAGTTTTGCGTGTGTGCTTGTATGTATGACTGTGCATGTTTACGTATGTTTACGTGGACATTCATGCGTCTGGTTGCCTTATGCGTGTCCAATATGTTTGTCTTACTTTTAAACATCTATGCGTGTAGTTTTGCGTGTGTGCTTGTATGTATGACTGTGCATGTTTACGTATGTTTACGTGGACATTCATGCGTCTGGTTGCCTTATGCGTGTCCAATATGTTTGTCTTACTTTTAAACATCTATGCGTGTAGTTTTGCGTGTGTGCTTGTATGTATGACTGTGCATGTTTACGTATGTTTACGTGGACATTCATGCGTCTGGTTGCCTTATGCGTGTCCAATATGTTTGTTTTACTTTTAAACATCAATGCGTGTAGTTTTGCGTGTGTGCTTGTATGTATGACTGTGCATGTTTACGTATGTTTACGTGGACATTCATGCGTCTGGTTGCCTTATGCGTGTCCAATATGTTTGTTTTACTTTTAAACATCTATGCGTGTAGTTTTGCGTGTGTGCTTGCATGTATGACTGTGCATGTTTACGTATGTTTACGTGGACATTCATGCGTCTGGTTGCCTTATGCGTGTCCAATATGTTTGTTTTACTTTTAAACATCTATGCGTGTAGTTTTGCGTGTGTGCTTGTATGTATGACTGTGCATGTTTACGTATGTTTACGTGGACATTCATGCGTCTGGTTGCCTTATGCGTGTCCAATATGTTTGTTTTACTTTTAAAAATCTATGCGTGTAGTTTTGCGTGTGTACTTGCATGTATGACTGTGCATGTTCACGTATGTTTGCGTGGACATTCATGCGTCTGGTTGTCTTATGCGTGTAACTCAATCTGTACGCATGTATGTCTGTGCAAGTATATTTGGGCGTATGCTATATTGTTTGCATGGATATTTATGTGTAGGTGTGTTCACGTGTTTATGCGGGTACGAATGTTTGCATTGCGTGGACACGTGTGTCCACACGTATATTTTCTATGTGTGGGCGTATCTCGGCGTGCGTACGTACGTAATTATGCTTTCTGTTTATTTTTATTTTATTTTATTGTAAGTATTTGTGCGGATCACAAGAATTGTCCGATAAAGTTGCACATTAATTTAATTATATAATCAGAAATAAATTTTATAATCTCAGCAGAAATTGAAAGAAATTTAATATTTTTATATTTCATTGGAAAATAATTTCATATTTAAATTATTTAGCAATTTTTGCATAATTATTACTAATCAACCAAATATTTAGTATTAATTAATCAAAATAATTTGAACAGATTTGTTAGAATGTACGCCGTTTTAGTAAAATGAGTTAATAATTCCATTTTTATTTTCTTTCACTTTTCTAATAATTTTTTCTTTTCAAATATTTAATTTTCATTCGCTTAAATAATTCTAATTAACAATTCATCAAATATAATTGGTCTAAAAATAAAACTTTCCAGCCTTCCTTCTTCTATTTATGTTTATCTCTTTCAAATTTTATCACAGTTCGTTTATCAATTTTGTCTTTCCTTTACTTTTTTTTGTTTTTGTTTTCGTTTTTTTTTTTTTTTGATGTCTCATTTATCATTTTTTAACAATTGCTATCACTACACTGTCCCGAACTAGCATATTCTGATAAGATAGTAATTTGAGAACGTTGATAATCTCAAATCTAAGAATGTTGAAAACATTAATTAATATTTTGAGACTTCAGCTGACTTAGGTATACTAAAATCATTACGGGGTGCTTTGAATTTTGTGAATCCCAGAAATGACACAAAATAATTTTAAATATGAAAATACTGAAAATTGTAATAAGTATGTAAAATAATTTTCATCAAACTACTTAAATAATGTCATAATTTAAAAGACAATAAATTAAGAGACATTATAATTTAAAAACAAAAATAGTTTGACAAAAATTATTTTCAACTTTATCTTTCGAATAGGTAGGCTAAATTATGTTTTTGACATATTTCTGCTTTGCCATATATTTATATTTGGCTCTCAGTAAAACTCAAATTTGAAATTGACATCAAAGCTAGAAATTAAATTTGCAGCTAACATTTTAAAAAAGTCAAATAAATTAGTTTTCGATTATAAAACAGAAATACGAGTTTGTAGGTGAAAGATGGTTAATCTGGATGATTTCAATTTATTTCATTGGATCTTTAAATTCAAATTGTTTTATTATATAATTTTTGTCTTCAAATCCTTTCATATTGCTTCATTTTTGGATTTTCAAATTTTTTCATTATTTCTTTTTAATTTCAAATTGATTCGTCTTTGCTACATTTCGTCTTTATCATTTCATATTGCTAAAATTTTGTTTATTTATGATTATATGACAGTTAAACTGTGAATATCGTAAATGTAAGTGAATAATTAAGTAATAAAATAATTAATTTGAATATATGTGAATAAAGGTGACTAAGTAATGTAAGTAATAGCATAAAAGGTCATTTATTATCATTACCTAATTTTTAATTGCCTTAAATTGTTAAATTAATTAAGATTACTTAAGATTCTCTATTAAAATATGATTTTTCTAATTATTCATTAGTGATACTTTCTTCTTTTTCATATTTAGTCATATTTTTTAACTATTGATTAATAAAACCAAGATAATTTATCCAATTAATCTTTTAAAATTTTGCATTTCATGAAGTATTCTATTCATATTTTTTAACTATTGATTAATAAAACCAAGATAATTTATCCAATTAATCTTTTAAAATTTTGCATTTCATGAAGTATTCTCATATTCTCTTCTAATCGCTTTCATATTTTAATTAACTTAATTTAAGCAAAAAATTCTTAAAAACATCATTCCTTTTTTAATATTTCAATTAATTTTTATTTAATAATGATTAAATATAAAACTACTTAAACATTTCAAATAATATTGTCATTTGATTTTATTTATTATTATCTCAATAAATGTTGTCATGATTTCAACTTTTTTTCTTTATCATTTTAATATTCCATTTAATATTGTTAGCTGAGTTATATATATTTTACTTCTATCAAACAGAGCAATATTTATCTAATCTAAAAGCCTTTAAGGCTATTAATAAGCCATCCTCCTTCTTTCATCAAATTTAAAAAGCATTCATTTTATGATAGACAAATGATATTACATTCGACATTTCCTCCTCATTCTCATCACCAACTGCGCTTCATTTCCGATATTTTTCTTAGAATTTGTTAGAAATTCAATCAAACAAATATTCATATCATTAATTGATTGATTATATAAAAGTTTTCAATCAATAAAAAAAAGTTTCTTCAAGAATTATTTTCATATTTAATCTAATTATTTATTTATTTTTTGAATTTCGTTTTTTTATTTACATTTTTTTTTCACTTTTCTTTAAAAAAAAAATTTATTTAATTTTTTAAACTTAATCATTTTAAAAATGTATTTTTAATTTAATAATTTTTTTCCCGATATGCTAAATAAATTTCATTCATTTTTTTTTTCTTTTTTTGCTTGAATTTGCTAATTTTATACGTTATAACTTAAATTTGCATTTATATTTATATAATATAATCGCTATTTTATATTTGTGATAGAAAAATTATAATTAAAATTTTTCAAAAATCCACAAATATTGCCATACATAATAATAAAAGATTCTGTTCAATGAATATTAATTTTAAAAAAAGAATTATTTATAATAATTAAGAAATTTTTTCGTTCAGAAATTTTTGTTAAATACAATATTTTGGTCGAATTTATTCAACTATTATTGTACGTTTACTAATATTATATGCAATACATTTTTCCTCTTTTTTTTTTCGATTCCTTTCTTATTTGTACACTTAAAATTTGCTACAACAATAAAGCAATGAAACAAATGTATATT